TATTGTCTCTGTCCCCGACCCCCCCTCCCCGACCCCCATCAAACACCTGCTCTCATCTTTCTGTGAGTGCTGGCCACAGACTAGGCTAGTTCCTTTTCAGACATTAAATTCAATCTGCCCAGTAATTCCATATAAGAATCACTAAAATAGGCGCTCTCTCTCTCTCTCTCTCTCTCTCTCTCTTTCTCTCTCTCTCTCTCTCACACACACACACACACACACACACACACACACACACACACTCACTCACACACTAGAAACTGAATGAATCTCTGACCTCCCAACGGCTTAGAACTCTCTCCAGTCTTCAACTCTCCTGATGTAGATGATAAAAGGTACCTACCAGGATTTGCCATCCACTTTAACCTTACAACTTCAGCACAATAAAGGAGAGAGAATGCTTTTATGTGCACTACTGCCATAGACCCCTGAATCAGAAGGTCTGGGGAGCACCACTTAGGAACTCACCTTTTAACAAAGTCTCTATACACACTTTTCAGCTGGCCAAGCCTCGGGCTAGGAAGGGGTTGCTTTCTGGAGTTTCCTTTCCATTTCCAAGCCAGACTCCTCTTTCTAGAGGTTCAAAAACCTAGATTCTGAATTGATCCCAGCACTGGCTCATAGCACCACTAAACACATTATTTAGCTTTTCTGATCATCAGTTTCTTAAACTGCAAATTGGAAATAACACCTATTCAACAAACAAGGCCTCAGATAAACAAATGCCAAAGAAACAATCTTTTGATGAAAGTGCCTAGTAAACATTGATGATTCTAATGCTGGTTTTCTACAGTCACCCTGTTATTCTCTCTCTACTGGCATATGGAGCCCAAGGGAACAGCTTCCCATTTTACTGAATAGGCTGGTCCACAATCAGTTGCTGTAGTGCTGATGTCACTGGGGACAGGGCCTGGGAAGACACAGGCAGAAAGCTGCTCTTCATAGAGACTGGCACTCTCTCTTGTCACCCTGCCTTCCAACCCACCTCTCAGTGAGCTTTTCTTGGCTCCCCACAGCTGTTGACATAACTGATGTTACAGGTAAACAACTTCCCAGAGGCCAGCCCTGTACTGGTTGGGCCCAGGCAATGACAGGTAAATTGGGCAGCAGTCATGTTGTTTAGGATGTTGGTGTGAGCTGTGGTGTGTCCTGATTAGATGTAAAAAATAGAGTTCATTGTGTTTGTGAGGCAGAAAGAGAGAGAATCCAGAGAAGGTTGGCCCTGCACAAAAATGGCCCACCCCAGGCCTGACCTCTGACCCTCAGTCAAGGCCTCAGGTACCACAGTATGTTTTCCCTGAGCTTGCTCCATAACCCTGCTTTGTCTTCCTGTCCATCTCTTCCTCTGTCCTCATTCCTCCTTGGAGTGTGGAGGACAAAATTCTGCCTTTAAACCAGGAGATCTGGATTTTAATCCCACTTTTGCTGCCAGCTAGCTCTGTAACTTGGGTGATCATTGAGCATTCCTTTGGCCCAATTTTCTTACTAAATGGAAAACAATTAAATGGGCAGCAAGCACACAATGGGGGGAGTTGAGCCCCATCACTTCTAAGTTCCCTGCCTATCCATATTGCGTGTCAGTGCTGGCCTGGAGGCCCCATGCCAGCATCCTACCTTGGTTTGCTTTCTTGAGACAAAGCCATACATTCTACAACCTGCTCTTCTCACAGCCTTCCCATTCCCCCCCTCCCATCCACCCTCCTTCCTAGCATTCTTACCTTCCCAAATCCTTAGAGTGAATCTCCCCTCCAAAATGAGATACTATCAATAATAACATGCACCCACTCCTAGAAAATGTAACTTTTTCTTAATTTGCAGGAGTAAGCATAAGACATGGAGTCAAACAAACCCAAATTATAATCTTGGCTTTGCTAAATTAATGTGTTTTTTTGAGCAAGGTACTAGATATGTTCAATTTCTAGTATTATCAGATCCATTTCCACCTGCAATGGATTTACTAATTCCACTTTGTCAGGCTGTGGGGAGGATTAAATGAACACAGTTCCTATAAAGCACAGTGCCTGGCACATATGTGAGCTCAACAACTGTGGTTGCCTTCCTTTTCCATCTGGGTCGTACTGGTGCTTGTTTACAACCAACCACACCCTGAAAATTCTGCCTTTCCTCCAAGGCAGTGACTAGTCCTAGGAGTCAGTGGGTAGGGCTGCACATTGTCCACCTCCAAGGATGTCATTCAACAGAATGTAGCCCCAGGGCTCCAATGGGGAGCCCATTGGTGGTGTTGAGATTGAGATGTCCACATCTACCTTTCCCACCTTCCACTCACTTCCTGATGTCTCACTTTGTTTCCAAGTTTGGACAGGTGAGTTATCTTCCATATCTTCCATCCTTATCCGCCCTATACAGTCTGTTCAGTGCCATTCCCTGAGGTCTAGTTCTGACTGGTCCCCTTCAATATCTTCCTAGTACATCTAGCACATATGTGCTTAAACTCAGAGTCCCCAGACTACATTTAAAGTGCTGCATAATCTTCCCTAAGTTCATCTCTCATGTTCCTTTATATCTCACTCTGCTCTGGCCAACCCTGACTTCTGTTCCTCCAGATTTCCTAATTCCATGTTTTCCTCTTGCTGTTCCCTCAATGTGGGAAGCCACACTGCCCATTTCTGCCCATCACAAGCCTGTCCTCTCTTCAAAGCTGGTCAAAATCTTTCTACGTAACTCTTGCTTTTAAATCACTATAGATCTTGGCCTTTAATTTTTCTCTTTTTTTCCATTTGTATTTAGGTCATATATGATCTTGTCTTTGCAAATAAATTGATATTAAATTAATCTAGACAATATTTATATAGGTCAACTATGTAGATGATGATGATGATGATAACAACAAGCTATTTTAAAGTGTTCTCTATCTGTTCAATCCTGTGCTAACTGCATCATATGCATTAATTGATTTAATATTCCCAAAACTTCCCCCAAATAGCATTGCCATCTCTTCATAAAAGAAAGAATGGAGAGAATGGAAAGAATGTTTAATTACGAAGTTAAGCAATTTACCCAGATAACACAGTTCAGGAAACTTCATAAGGTTCCATTCTTTCATTTATGAAGAGATGGCAATGCTATTTGAGGGAAGTTTTAGGAATATTAAATCAATCAATGCATATAAAGCAGTTAGCACAGGATTGAACAGATAGAGAATATTTTAAAATAGCTTGTTGTTGTTATAATCATCATCATCATTGCTTCTTAAAATTTCTGACAGGTGGTTTGACAATTTTTTTTAACAACAACAACAACAACAACAAAAAAATCCCACTCAAACACCTTTAATATATAAACTTCCACAAATTGGGGAAGGACTTGATTCAAGTTGCACACCTTCTTTTTAAGAACGTGTGAATTCCGTGGGGGTGAGGTGCAAAAACTGGCATATGAAAAAGAAATTAAAAATAGGTCTTTAGGAAATAAAATCCTGTGTCTTTTGGCATTGCTCAAATGTAGACAACGCATCTGCAGTATTTGGAACCAGTGGCCAGATTGGAAGCTATGGCACCTAAGTCAGTTTCCCTGAGAGCCACCCACACCTGCAAACGCTGTTTTCTAAAGGCATGCGCTCAGACTTTTCCTAACCCTGTTAGACATCATCAAACAATTATAGAGAAGCTAGTCAAATGCAGGATTTTACAACTGTAGGAATTAGGAACAGAAAGGGACCTTGGAAATGATCTATTATAGTTCAAACTCGAATTTTGCAGATGAAAATTCTTAAGGCCCAGAAAGGACTTCATATTGCCACCAAAGGAGAATTTCATGACACTTTTTGGTGTTAACATAGGATTTCTGAGTGGGCAGCTGTGGGACAACCTCAGGAGGAAAATGGCAGAGTCTCCTTTGTGGGCCTCTTCACTTTCGGAGGGAAGAGATGTAATGTGTTGTTGGGGAGAGAAAGGTTCTTTTACTGACTGACTCAGAGGTAAGGTGGTTATCTTTGCAAGACACTAGGCAACACTAACAATGATCTTTTCCTCTAGACCTCGTCCAGAACGCTGAAATACACGGACATAAGATGAAACAACACCTTTGAGTTTCAGATCAACACCCTTCTCAGATATACGCTTTGCAACAGAGGTTGCAAAAAAGAGGTCTTTCTATAGTTCTTCTGAGACTAAGCTCCATTCTAGAATGCTTACAGCACAAGCATCGCAGGCATGTTAAGAAATATCTGCAAAGATTTCACATAATCCTAGAGAGAAGAAAGTTGGTTATATAGAGAGGGTCTGGTCTCATTTCTGCTTTTAACATTCTCTCGTTACCCACTTCTCTTTCTCTTTTTAGTGATACAACTCTACTATTCCAGTTATAAAAGCCAGAGGCCAGTGGGAAGTTCTCAAAGAGAGCAGGTGCTGAAGATGGTTTTTTTTTTTTTTAAATACACTTTTATTGATTTCAGAGAAGAAGTGAGAGGGAGAGAGAGAAAAAAACATCAATGGTGAGAGAAAATCACTGCTTGGCTTCCTCCTACATGCCCCTCCTAGTGATGGAGCCCAAGACCTGGGCATGTGCCCTAGATGGGAATCAAACCTGGGACCTTTCAGTCCCCAGGCCGACACTCTATCCACTGAGCCAAACTGGCGATGGCTTACGACAATTTTCAAAATTAATTTCATGGGCTGCTAATAAGTGTGGTCTAAAAAAAAATTATGTGCTTAGAAAACATTGAATTAGTTAACTTTAAATAAGACTCACCACTAAGTTAGTGCCTTTTATATGTTAATGTGAAATGTGAATCTCTTGGAAGAGCTATGTAAATATAATATATAAAAACATTTTCCACACTTCCCTAACTAATTTGATTTTTCCTCCACAAGTCCTACTTTAATCCTACTAGAGCGTAAGTTTTAAGCCACTCAATTTGTGGTACTTAGTTACGGTTGCCGTAGGACATTAATATACCTAGATGTGAATTTTAGCTCTGTCACTTAGTAGCTCTATGAATTATTTAAACATTCTCCCTCTGATACTTTAAGGACACTTACCTTTCTGTGATTGTTTCTCTGAGGCCACTGGCCACCCCTTTGACCACAGTGCTAGCTTTGGGCGTCAGCACCACCTGAGATATAAAAAACGAGCCCTTCTTTCTTCTCTCGGTGATGGACGCCTGAAGGAACTGAATCAGTTTCTCCGGGTCTGTGGTGTTGGCCCAGGGTGCTGGCATCATCTGCCCTGGCCAGAGGAAGGCCACCTCCAGAGCCACGGGACTGTGGTAGAAGACCAGCACCTGGTAGTCCTTCTCCCACAGGTACTTCAGAGTCACTTCCTGCGCAAAAATCGCTGGGCACATTTTATTTCCATAGGTGTCTTTCAGCATTTGGACCAACTTTTCATGGTGATATTTCTGCATTCCATAAAAATGATTGAAGTCCAAGAATACCACCTCTTTACGGTGATCTGTGAGGAATGCATTGATCTCCTCAAGGCCCTCATTGACTTTGGCACTGAACAAACCATGAGCAAAGTAGAGTTCATTGTCGGGGTCTCTGGGCTTGGTGGAAATTCGAAGATCAAAATAACGGATCCCAGCTCCTAGCTGACCAGTAAAGTTCATCGTTTGAGTGGCTAACCATTTCCGCATCAGCTTTTTGGCCACAGTTCCAAAAACAGAGACAAAATTCTGGACAGTTTCTGGCTGTTCAGGCCCTACTGGAGAGGCTTCGTCAATGTAGAAGCTGAAAGAATCGTGAGATCCTAGAAGAACAATAAGGCACAGTATGGTTACATTTCAGTCCTTCGTCCTCTCCAACCTCTTTCCCTCTTGCAATGTCTATATTTCTCCCTCAAATGAGCCAAAGGAAGCACTAAGCAATATTTACCAAGTTCATTCCCATGCTGCAGGGAAGTTTTTCATAGCCTAGTATAATAACAGGGCAAATTGGTTGTGAAGTGATAAAAAATTCCTTCTGATCAACATTTTAAAATTCAAATAATCATCTTCTACTTCTGTCAACAAATAATTTAAAGTACTCATTAGGATTGGTTTTCCATATACTGACCATTCAAAATAGGATTTATGGGTACCTGCCAGTTCCCAAATACTTGGTCTATAATGTTGCCCCTGTTCTTCATTTTGGGTTGATGTGAAGCCTAGAAGACTTGTTTCAACGAATAAAGAAGCTCTGCTTATTTCAATGAATAAAGAAGCCCTTTCCACCAGCAGATGGTCAGAGTAAGAACGGCAACCTCTTACCCTTTGGAAAACACAAGAGGTCAGAGGGTAAAAGAAAGCAGAAATAAGGCAAGAGGACAGTCCAATGCTGACATGTTTAACATCATTTCTGACCCTGCATTTGGGAAACTGTCATCATATATAGATTAGGTTGCAAGTTACCACAACTGAGCATATTAAAAAAATTAACTAGAAGGCCATTTCCTTCAGATACTTCCTCTTAATAGCAAAGTCTCTTTTGGGAGTTGGCTTCCCAATTTAAAATAATTTCTTCCTAGAAAGAACAAGGACAACATATTTCTTTATTTCTGGCAGAAATAAATAACTCCAGATATGTAGCAACTACTGTATGATTTGCGTGTAAGTACAGATAGCCACTTAAAATATTATTGGACCCCATAGAGAAAAATTATTTCCAGTCATAATTTTATTATTAAAGCTTCCTTTAATTCTTGGGCGTGACCTACTAACTAGGTAAAATTAATATCTCCTGGATTTTTCACATATTAGCAGATGTCATCATTCCCCATCTGTTCATTATGCTTCACACCTTGTGGCCCACGCCTGATATATTCCTTAAGGGACACCTTCTTCTAGGTCATTACTCCTACAACCCAAACACACATATACACACATACACACACACATGCACACTCATGGCCCTCTAAATTGGTCAGCTATTACCTTTTGGCTTTTGTCTGATAAGCTATTTGAAGTGATTTTTTTCAATGATGCAATATTTACCTTTGATTTTATTCCATATCTATGTTAATTTATATCTATATCTATGTATGTATATATTTATGTCTAGCATTAAATGGTCCATAGAAATCATAAGGATATGGATTTCAAGCACCATGTAGGTTGTTAGGGAAAATATTTTGAAAACTACTTTGATGCCTTGCCAATCACAAACTTTAAGATTTGGAACAGATAACTCCTTAGAATTATAAGATTTTTTCTCCCCCAAATAGTTAAAGGTAACCCCCAAATACAGAAATGTCATGTTTAATTTAATCTGGAACTGCCTGATATAGTTATCTTTAGTACATGGTATGGGGAGAAAATGTCAGGACTTTCTAAATATGCAGAACTGACAGTTTGGATCTGACATTGGCAAATTTTAATAGGGATTGAAAGTGCTATATATTAACATTTGCTGTACAGTTAATTGCTAATATAAATTGAGAAACTAAATAACCTGTACTATCACTGAATATAAAAGAGAGTCTGTGTAAAGAAAGGAATACAAAGGTGAGGTTAAAAAGTGTTATAATTAAATCATCTAGGTATAAATAAATAGATGAACACTCAATATAAGTGCTAATTTTAAAAAATTTAAATTTAATTTCCAGGTATGTGAAAAAGGGTGGATATGAGTAATTGGTTACTTCTGTAATCTAATAGAAGGCATCACTGGAAGCAAGTAGAAATGGAATTATATATAACTAGATTTCTTTTTCCAGAAACGAGTGGGGTTTTGTTTCAATATGACTTTAATTTCAACATTCTATCATATGGTTATATGCCAATTTTTTCAAAGCCTAAGAAATTCATTTTTGAAAATCCTATAGAAAGATATTATAGTTTCTAATTAAATTACTTGTTGACATTTAAGAAAAATATGTTATTAAAGTCAAAATAAGGTAGTGTCAAATAAAAATTAAAAATAACTAATGGTCAGGAGAAGACACTGGTACCTCCATCAATATTTGTTCTAAGCTAGATGACTCTGAAGTGCATGCACAGCATTTGGGGAAGGATTATGTACCCAGATACAAACAGTATTTGGAGAGGAAAATTAAATCATCAATCAATACAAAACACTATGCATTTTAGGACAAAATGCATATCTAATGTTGGCCCCCAAAGTAAGTATTTTCATGGCTTTTAATTTCATTTGGAATAGTACTTCCTCCCTAATTTTATCATTTTTACTAAACCATTAAATTTTCTATTTGAACTTAAACCAAAAATACATCAGTACTTTATGATCTTTCAGTAACAGAGAGAAAAAGTCTGGCCCAGCCCTGTGTCCTTAAAACCACAGAGCCCTAACCACCAGCAAGACAGTGCTAAGCATCATTTTTACTGTTCTTAGCTACATCCACAACCTCTCTGATTATCTGGCCTAATATTTTGCTTTTACACTGGTTGAATATTACTGGGCTTCTGACCTATTATCCTTCTCTTGTCCATAGCCTCAAAGGCATACCTTGGACCTGCTACTTAATGTTGTTCCTTTGATTCTGAACTGAGCCTCTCAACTTGGAGCTTGATTTGCACCTCTACTCAAAATAGAGCTGACCACTCCCATTATGAACCCAGCCCAATCAAGTTCATTTGTTTTGGCTCTGAATGATCGAATGGAATGGAGAAGGTTCTTTTCTTTCATTTCTTAGAAACAGGCACTTTTATTAGTTTCTTCCCAGTATGCTAGATTTTCCCCTCACTGAGGCAACAGGCACACATCCAAGATGGACCCCAACAATCCTGCCTCCTGGCATTCACATCCCTCCTGGAGTGTGAGCCCAATCTAGTGGCTTGCTTCTAATGAATTAGATGACACCAACACAATGGGACACCATTTCTGAGATTAAATAAGAAATGATTGGGACCTCCACCTTGCTACTCTCTGCATTGCTGTTTGGTTTGTTTGTTTTTGTTTTGTTTTGTTTTGTTTTTGTGGAAGAGGGAAAGACAAAGAGAAATATCGATGTGAGAGAAACACATATCATATCGATCGATTGGTTGCCTTCTGCATATACCCTGATCAGATCCCAGGCTGGGGAGAAGCCTGCAACCAAGGTACGTCATACCCTTAAACTGAATCCAACCTGGGACCCTTTGGTCCACAGGCTTATGCTCTATCCACTGAGCCAAACGGGCTAAGGCTGCCTTGCTGGCTTTGACAAAGCGAAGTGCCATGTTGGCGAGGCCCATGTAGTAAAGAACTTAAATTAAACCAGCAAGCTAGGAACTGAGGCCTTCAGTCCAACAGGCCCATTCCAGACCACACTGAAAATACATGAAATCCACTCTTGGTTTCTAACTGTCATGGAGGAGAGAAAATACCCAAATTATGGAAACAGTATTAAATCTCAAATCATTTTTTAAAAGACTTGGGAAACATTTTACAATATTTACTTTTCCACATTGCCAGTCATTATTATGAGTACCTAAATCTTATATCTCCTTGGGAAAGCATAGCATAATCGAGTGTCTATTACATCCTAGGTCAATCTTAGATCACAGCATTGAGAGCTACTGGCTTTGGTCCCACAGCTGTCTTTGAAATGACCTATTAAATCACTTTTATTTGGTTTGGAAGTCAATCAGTTCTTTCTAATTGTAAACACATAGTGTTGAATCTGTAATTACTTAGTTCTTATGTGACAATATACAATTAATCTCATTAATTTTTGTTTACCCCACTGACTTACTGATCAGCCATTTGGATTTTTTTTTTCTTTTGGAGACAAAGACCAAACCTTATTCCTGGTACATAATCTTGTCTCAGTCTCCAGGGTATGACCAGGTCTTTCTGGACAATATAAGAAATTTTATGGCCCTAGCTGTTTTGGCTCAGTGGCCTGAGTATTGGCCTGCAGACTGAAGGGCCTCAGGTTTGATTCTGGCCAAGAGCACATGCCTGGGTTGTGGGCTTGATCCCCATTGGGGTATGTGCAAGAGGCAGCCCATCAATGTTTATCTCTTATCGGTGATGTTTCTATCTCTATATCTATCTCCCTTCTTCTCTAAAATCAATAAAACATTGTTTTTTAAAAAAGGAAATTTTGTGTCATCAGAGAAAATGCATGCAATGCACCACAAGACAAAACACTTCTAGAATTGAACAGATCATTAAAAACCACACACCTGTAATTTAATGTATACACTTCTCTTGACATAAAAATCATGTAGGAAATACATTTTCAAATATTAAATAATCCCAATATATTTCACTATTTTGGAGCACGGAGATGAATCCTTTTGTAAAGAAAAAATCAAAATAGTCATGCTGTGGTTTATCTTTGGGGAAATCTGTGTCTTTCATATTGTGAATAGTCTTCTCCCTCAGCCCAGCTCAGGCAGTGAGAGGAAGGAAAGCAGGTTGGTTTCCTTGCTTAAGTCTATTGATTCCAGAGGCTAAATTTGAGAAGCCCTATTACATCGATGCCTCTCCGAGGAAGAGAAGCTCAATATTCACCACAATTTCTTTCAATTTCCTGAGTGGATTCCTTAGACCAATGGATAAGCTGGCAGTGAGTAGTTTAAGAGCAGCGGTGGGTGTTCCCATCAAGGAGGGCAGAAAAGAGAGCTCACTCCGAGGGCTACTCTTGTTGAAACTATGAAGCCTTCTTTTCACATGAATTTCTTTCCAAGGACGATCAATATGCATGCCAGAAAAAATAATAATTAAAAGAGACCCCAAGAAGTGGAGCAGTCCTAAATGACCGTCTAAACCAGCTCACTTCATTCTCTCTCTCTTCTGGGCATCCATCCTGATTGGACCCTTCTC